GGCCTCAGATGTTGCCACAGGCTGTTTGCGTGGCAAAGCAAGCTTCTTCCCATTCCTGACTCGCTGACTCCCTGTATGTTTTCAAGTTAAACAGCCCCTGTGAACTCCTCTGGTATCAGAAGGGTTCTGTCTTGGTATCTTTTTCTCATGAAACTTAGACACACACACCCCCTCCGCCGCCCCCGGCACTTAGCCACAGTTCTTTAATTACATAATTAATTTAATTTATTTTATTACCAACACCTGTCTCTCCTGAGGACAGGACCACGTTTTCAGTTTGCAATGTGTGGCGTCATGACAGTGACAGGAGACCCTCCATATATAATTGGTGACGGACCTAGAAGTGATTCTCTCCCACCCCCTGTCCCCAGCTCATGAGCCTGAGAGGGCAGCTTCACCTCAAAGCATGTGGGGCAGGCGGGAAAACGTGGCCTCACTCATCAGAGCACCCACCATTTCTGCGTCTTGAACTGGGGTGTCAGGAGGCCCCACCCAGACCTGGCTGTCCCAGAAGAGGGTGCAGTGAATGTGAGGTCCCCCCACCCAGGGCGGGGAAAGGCACAGCATAAAATTAATGCAACTCTCACACAGCCCTTCCTGGTTGGTCTTTAGGTTCAACTGACCCTCCCCTCACAGATAAGATTGATTTTGTCTGTTTCTTCTTCTTCAAATAAACAAAATTTACCCTCAATTTGTTTAAAAGGGGAAAGAAAGCCTGTTTCTCATTTGTTCCCATACACTTGTTAAATGTAATCATACAGTAAAAAAAATCAGAGCTGTTATAAACAGCAGGGAAATATTAAGCTTTCGGTGTGCAAAGTCTGAATCATAAAGTATGTTTAGTGGGGCTCCCTCTGCAACGAGACACAGCCAGATGACAGTCACAATTACCGGCTCCGAGGCCGATGCAACCCAGAGGCAGAGAGAGGAGCCGTGGGACGAGCGCTTCCCCGAGACCAGATCCCGCCTGCATCTCCCGAGGGCTCCTTTGGCCGTAGGCGCACGGAATTTACAGTTCCCGCTGTCTGTTCCACGGTTCTTTTAAAAATATATTAAGAGTGAAGTAAGCTAATGGAAAATATTATTCACTTATTTTTTTGGATGAAACCTCTTTCTTTCCTCACTACCCTTCTTTTTCTCATCTTTGTCCTCCTATCCCCGATCTGAAACGGACAAGCAGACATCCCCTACCGCAGAGATCAGTGTGGGAAGAGCAAAAGCGCTGGGAACTACCATTTCGTTTGCAATGACAGCTCCAAGGGCTGTGAGTGCCTGGAGGTGGTGCCTAGAGAGGCCGTCCCGAGACTCCGGAGGCTTTATTCACATTGAGCAGAGGCACATCGATTATCTCTGGCTGTGTGCCAGCGAGATGCAGGGCAGCACCTGACACGGCACACCGTGTTAACGGTCCGGGGCTGCCATCACCGAGTGCTTCGCCTGGGGCTTAACCCACAGGAACTCATTTGCTCAAGGCCCTGGAGGCTGGAAGGCCCGGATGAAGGTATTGGCAGGGTTGGTTCCTCTCATTGGCTTATGGATGTTCTCCTCCTCCCTGGGTCTTCACCTGGTCTCTGCCTGGGTCTGTGTCCTGATCTCCTCGTATAAGGACTCAGAGTGGATCGCAGCCCACCCCCATGACCTCATTTAACCCTAATCACCTTTTCAAAGATCCTGTTGCCCAATACAGCCCCATTCTGCAGTCTGAGGATTAGGCCTTAAATATATGGATTGTGGGGGGAGGACACAGTTTAGCCCATAGTAAGCACACTCACGCACACACTCTGAAATGTTTCGATAGGCCTCCCCAAAGTAAAGTTTCCATTTTAACTTGAGCTACACTGAGGGCCAAATCATAGGGTCTTGCAATGGAGAGATCCCCAGCCCAGATGCACATACAGGGCGAGAGCTCAGCCCACTCCCCAGCGAGGTGTCAGCACACAGGGGCCTCCCCCTAGAACTCTCCATGGTTTCCTTTGCCCGGATCAGCTCTGTTGGTTTTGGGGTCTCCACATGTGTCTCCTCCCCCACCCCCAACTTCTACCCCCTTCTTACTCTCTTCAGTTCCTATCTCAAGTCTGTCCCTGTGGCCTTTCTTTCTCAGGTGCCCACATCGTAAGATCATGGATGACTTTTTATCTTTTCTTCTTCAGTTTCATTATTTATTGGTTTATTTGTTTTTACAATGCTCATGTACTGCTTTAAGTGATTAATTTTAAAAGTTAATTTTTAAATTAGAAAATAACATTTAAGGCATCTGTGTGTGGGCATGTGCACACACGGTTTATAATAACTTGACCCGAAGGACTGGGAGCCACAGATATGGAACTCAAGTCCCTCAAGAAGCCAGATCTGGCTGCCAGCCCCGGGCAGGAACTTCTCTATGCCACTATCTTTCTCTGCCCCGGACACATTTTCTCACAACTCTATGCCGGGGACGTGAGGAACATGACTAGTTTTAAAGGGGCCACTCAGAGACCCCCAAATCCTCACCGTCAACGAGGAAGGGCCCTTGGGCCTGTCCTAAGGAGATCAGGTCATCAGTCAGCCCACGGCATCTGAGACGGGGTGGCCTGCTGGCACAGCACTGCCTCGCCTGGGTGTGATGGGCCTCTGGGCTTCTCTCTGCTGGTCCTTTTGGTGGCTCCCACACTGGGAAAGGGCTGTGAGCTCCTCCCCACAGCTCCGTTGGGGCCCTGAGAGTCCTGAGTGCTCAGAACAGTCTGAAGTTATACTCCAGCCTTCAACCAGGACAGGGCTCGGAGCTGGTTCAGTACCTGCAAGAGAAGCCAGTTCTGTTGCATTCATGGAGCTGGTTAGGATGTTCGCAGGGCCGAGGCCTGTTGGGGGTAGGGGTTGGACACGAGGTGGGGTGGTGTATTTCAACAAATCTGTCAGTGTCCTTCCCTGATCCTGCTGTCCTGGGAGGTGACCCGTCTGGTCCTGTTAGCGCCCCACTGGCCCGGCTCAGAGGCAGGGTGGGACCAGTTTAAATGTGGGTGTCAGAAAGCAGGGAGAGTCTGTTCCTCCTTCCTCAAGGGGTGAAACTAGAACAGGAAGCGCAAATAAAATGTGTTTTGCTCCTGCCAAGTATTGTCCTGAGCACTGAGCGGCTATGCCTCTGTGCCTAGTGCATCTGCCTAACACCAAGGTTCTGTATTTTGTGTTATCTTTTCTTCACAAGACCTTGGGAGATTACTCAAGAACAAGATAACATAGCCCACAAGCCTCGCTTTCTTTGTCTGTAAAATGGGTACCACCGGCCTCACAGGGCTGCTGTGAGGGTGGAAACAGGAAGTGAAATAATACGTGAGAGTTTGAGAAGGGCTCGTGGTGGGTCCTTGACAAACGCAGCATGATGATGCTGGAAATGAGTCTGTCCTGGGCCAGTGCTGGAGCAGAATTGAGTTTCGTGTGGTTTGCCTGTGGGGCGGCTTTGGCCGGATGCTTGGTGGCGGGGAGGCAGAGGCTGACCTTCCCCAGGGAAATGCTACTGACTGGCTTACCCATAAGTACAGCCCCTTGCCTGTGGGACATTGATTCGGGATTCCTGAGGGCGGGTGAGGCTGCCGTAGCTCTCTAACCTGTACCTCGTGTCACCAGGAGCCCGGCCTGCCCGTGCTGGGGGACGAAGAAGGGGGCACCACTGGGCGGAAGGCACTGATGCTCACAGGACTGCAGGGCCTCGAATGACCATGTTCAGAGGTGAAGCCGGTTCCCAAGGCGTCAGGGTCCCTGGAGAAAGGAGTGCACGGCTTCCCACAGGAGCACCTCCCGGGAGCCAGAGCCCGCAGTGCAGTGGCCCGAGCATGTCCACAGGGTGAGATCCTGTCATGCCCCCGGCGGAGCTGAAGGCCAAAGGCAGGTGCTCCTGGCAGGAGTGGCAGGGCAGCTGCCGCTGACACGACTCCCCGAGGCAGGATGGGTTTGTGGTAGGTTGGAGAGTGGGAAGTTCTGGGGGTTTAGTGGGGAGAGCAAGGAGCTGGAAGAAATAGAACTCAGGGTTGTCAGGAGATGGGGCTCGAGGCCAAAGGAAAGGCGACTTTGCTCCCCTCACGGTTTGCCTGGGGCTGAGTGACTTACTCTTGAGCAGCCAATTCTCCCAGGTTGTGCAGAAACATTATGAACACTTTGGAAAGGAGCAGTAGGCTCCTGCCATGTAAGGGAAGGTCTCAGGAGGTAAAAACGAGGGGAAACTTAGCTAAAAGCTGGAGTGCGGATTTAAGTTGCAAGGTATTTAATGATATTAAGATGCAGAGTGTCAATTTAGGACTTAGATGTTGTCTTCCAAGAAGCATAGGTATGTTTGCTCATTTTAAAAAAAGGGGGGTGGGCTGGGAGGGGAAGCACCATTCTCTTGTATATTAGGTACAGTCACTAAATACCTGACATTTATTAGAACTTACAAGATTTGGAAAAATTAGCATGATTTGTTGAAATATTTTGAAAAAACTATGATGTGACTACTTTTAAATGTTTTTACCATCACTGAAGGCAATACGCAACATAAAATTTATGCACCAAAAGCAACTGTGATGGCTCAAAATTCTAAGCATGATTATTTTGAGTAGGAGAAATAAGTTAATTTGTTTTTCTCAATTTTCTGTATTCTTTTTTAATTTCAAAAAAATGTTAGTCTTTTATAATGATGGGATTGCAAATTGAAAATGTGTTTCTTTTCTTTTCTTTAAAAATGTATTTCTTTATTGATTTCAGAGAGGAAGGGAGAAGGAGAGAGAGATAGAAACATGAATGATGAGAGAGAATCATTGATTGGCTGCCTCCTGCACAACCCCTACTGGAGATTGAGCCCACAACCCAGGCGTGTGCCCTTGGCCAGAATCCAACATAGGACATTTTCTTCTTCTTCTCCTCCTCCTCCTCCTCCTCCTCCTCCTCCTCCTCCTCCTTCTCCTCCTCCTTCTTCTTCTCCTCCTCCTCCTCCTCCTCCTCCTCCTCCTCCTCCTCCTCCTCCTCCTCCTCCTCCTTCTTCTTCGAAAAAGGGTTACATGATGGAAATACAAATCTCAGGCTTAAAATGTGCCTCAGATGTGTTTGTCACTTTTGAAGGTGACAATGTTGTTACGCTGCAGGTAAGATTCAGGAAATGTTTATTCTTCTTAAACAGCATCAAATTCAGGATCTAGAGTTACCCCGGGATTGGAAGTGTTTCCTATATTTCATCTTCCTCTGACGTCTTCCTGTAATTAGCAAGGGTTTTCCCGCCGGGCACCTGCTTTGTGCAATAGTTGAACAGGGATTATATTCTTCTCCTTGCTGACCTTTGACGTTGAATTCTATCTTTTCTTTTTGGTTTAAGAAAACTAGCTGGGCATATTGAGTCAGATTCTTCTGCTGGGAGGGCTTGTCCCAAAGGGTATGTGAGGCCCCAGAAGATGGACAGGCAAAATATGCAAAAAGCTAATTTACAAAAGGAGAGCTTGATCAGCCTCATCAGGGATAGGGAAGTGCACACGAGAGCATGCGTAGCACCGTGTTCTTTTCTCTATCAAACTGGCTTGCATGTTAGTGTGTCTGAGGCCCAGTGCTGGCGAGAACAAAAGGAGGCACTCGTCCATGTTTCTGCCGGGCCATGTAGGGTTGTCCTCTGGGACGCTACCTAAGGCAATAATCCTAAATGCAGAGAAACTTGAGGGCACAAATGTTTTCACTAGGATATTATTTATTATAGCAATAATGTTGGAATCTAAATTTTCAACAATAGGAAAATTATTATGTAAAATGTGTTCTGGCCACTCAGTGGGGAATTATATTGCCTTTAGAATTATACTTACCAAGAGTTTATTATAGAAATAAAAACTTTATGAAGTGATAAGTAAAGTGATATAAGGTTGTAGATGGAATGTGACCACAATTTGACATTGAAAAAGAAGAATAGGGACTTCAGGTTCTGCTAAGAAGGTGTGGCCCCATCTTCCCAGGGCCACCTCTTGACAGTGAAACACCCTGGATGTAACACAATGAACTAGCACAGACAGATGCTGAAAGGGGCGGAAGGAAGCAGGCTGCCCAGAGAAGGAAATGGCAGTCGGCTCTCTGGGTCTCCTCTTTGCCTCCCATAAATCCTGGACAGGGCATGTCTCCCACAGGCACAGGCGAAAAGCCTGCTCTCCCAAGCCAAAGGATGGGAAGGAGGGTGCTAATGGCAGAAAACCTGCTGGCAACACTCACTCTGCATTAGTCAGTCACACACACACACACACACACACACACACACACACACACACACCAACTTTAGCAGGGCCTGGCCGGAAATGGTCTTCCCCCTGACTTCCAATCTGAGGAGGCAGAAGAAGGCAACTGCCCACCCGGTGGGACTGAGCAGGGAACTAACCCTCCATCCCCTCCTGGGGGAGTGAATGGAGCTCAAGGACCTGCCTGGCAGAGTGAGTGGAATGCAGACCCTCCCATCAGGGTAACGCCAGCAGGGCCCATTGGCAAGCCCAGCCTTCACCTCTGTGGGCAGCAGTAAGACCCAGTGAGGGGAGGTAAGGTGGAGCTAATTACTAGTATACTCCACCCCTCAATCCCAGTGTCACCAAGGTCTGTTGAAGAGCTGAGCTCCTACCTCCATCTGATGACCAGGATGTGTAAGTCAGAGCTGCTCACCACTCACATGACCCATCCCTGGTGTAGTGGCCCATTGAGGAGCTGAAGCTACACACTCACATAGCAACAAGAAACCAAATTAGACAGAAAGAAGCAGGACATTTGATCCCTTCTCTTCCTGTCCTCTCACCCCCATACTAAAGGGGCCTTTGGGAGCTGAGCCTCCAGCCACACCTGGCAGTGGTGGAATGAGCTGGAGCAGTTGATAGTCCACATCCCTCTCTCCTAGTTTTAGAAGGAGCCAGTGGAAGCTTGACCTCTGTCCTTTCCCAGCATCAGTGGAAGGCAGGAAGAGGTGATGGGAAGTTGGGCTGGTTGGCACTCTGCTTTCCCACTCTTTTCTGCTGGTTTCAAGACCAAGAGGGAGCTGAAGTTTCAGCTCACCAGTCTGCCACAAGGCCATGCCAGGTAGTGCACCAGTTTTGTCAGAATGGTGTTGACAACATCCACTGGGAAGCTGAACATAGACACACACCCAGACCTTGTAGTGAAGATCAAATTCAATCTCAATCACCCCGGATGCAGTAGGAAAATCGCTCATCATACAATCAGCCAACTTGAATGAGAAAGCAACACATAATGACACTGAGAAGAACCAGGTGTTGGATTTATCTGACAAAGATAATACTTCAAAGGTAATTACAAATACTCTTGAAAAAATAAAAATAGTAGAACATTTTAGCAAAGATAGAACAAAATGTAGAATTGAAAAATACAAGAGCTGAAACAGCACATTTGCAGAATGGCATTGATAGTAGTGTACAGATGATGGGGAAGAGAATCTGTAAAACTGGGGACAGTACAGCAGAACTTATCCAGTCTGAACAGAATGGATGAAAATTAGCAGTCTTGGGGACCTTGGAACATAACAGAGTATCTGTATCACTAAGGCCTCACAAGGAAAGGAAAGCAGATGAGGGTGAACAAATACTCAAGGAAATAATACCCGAAAGACAGGAAAGTGAAAATCCAAGGTGCTGAGCGAATCCCAAATAGAATGAACACGAAGAAATTCACCAGAGGTTAAATCATAGCTGATACCAGTTTGGCTCAGTGGTAGAGTGTCGGTCTGTGGACTGAAAGGTCCCCGGTTCGATTCCAGTCAAGGGCATGTACCTTGGTTGTGGGCACGTCCCTGGTGGAGGGGGTGCAGGAGGCAGCTGGTCGATGTTTCTCTCTCATCAACGTTTCTAGCTCTCTATCTCTCTTCCTTCCTCTCTGTAAAAAATCAATAAAATATATTTAAAAAATCATAATTAACCTTCTGAAAGCTAAGAGTAAGGAAAAAATATCAAAAGCAGACAGAGAAATGGTGCATCACTTTTAGGGAAATACTAACTCAAATGACAGCAGGCTTCTCATCTGACAATGATGCCAGGAGGAATCGACACACCATGTTCAAGTGCTATAAGAAAACAGTCAACCGCAAATTCTATACCCAGTGAAAATGCATGTCCAGGTTGAAAGGGAAATAAAAATATTATCAGATTAAGGGGAATAAAGAGAATTTGTTGCTAGTCAATATTCTTAAAGAATGAATAAAGGAAGTTCTATAAACAGAAAGAAAATGATTTAAAAAAAAAAGAAGGCTTAAAACTCCAAAGAAAGGAAAGTATGTATAAAGTACGAGTATATGTAACACACTGTCCTTGTCATTTGATGTTTGAAGCAACAATCATATCTCCTTTTGGTGAAATGCTCAATGTGTATAGAGAAATTACTTTATGCAATTAAGTGTTTTTTGTTTTATTTTGTTTAAATAAAGGGAGAGTAAAAAACCTAAATATAAGTGAGGTTTCTAAACATCACAAAGTCATAAAACATCAATACTACTAGACTATGATACATGCATACCCACGCACACACACACATAAACGCTGAAACCATCCATCTCATAGAAGAAACACAAGGTAAAGTCTCCGTGGCATTGGTCTTGTAACAATCTTTTGGATGACACCCAAAGCAAAAGCAACAAAAGCCAAAATAAACAAGTTGCACTACATCAAACTAAAAAGCTTCTTCACAGCAAAACAAACCACAAAATGAAAAGGCAACCTATGACATGAAGAAAACACAAACCACCCATCTGATAGGGGTTAATATTCAAAATATACAAGGAACTTATACAGCTCAATAGCAAACAAACAATCTGATTTTTAAAATAGGCAACCTGAATGGAAGACACACAAATGGCCAAGAGGTATGCTAAGATCTGGAAACAACCTAATAAATGAGTGGATAAAAAAACAGTGGAATACTTTGCAGCTGTATAAAAGAAGGAAATATTACCCTTTTAGAAAGCATGAATGAACCTGGAGATTATTATGCTAAGTGAAATAGTCAGAGAAAGAAAAATATCACATGATTTCACATATATGTACAATCTAATGAATAAAATAAACTGACAAGAGATGGAGCCAATGGCATAGATGCATGGGACAGACTGACAGGTCAGAGGAAAGGAGGCATTGAGTGGGAAGAGATTAACAAAAGAACTTCTATGCATATATGCATAGTCCCAGGACATAGAGGATAGTGCTGTGAAGGACTGGGGTGGGGCAGGAGCCAGGTGGAGGGGGCAACGGAGGGAAAATTGGGACATCTGTAATACTCTCAACAATAAAAATACATTTAAAAAAATGAAAAATTTTAAAAAGAGGTTCTCAACATTATGAGTCACCAGTAAATGCAAATCAAAACCACAGTGAGATATCACCTCATACTGGTTAGAATGACTGTTCCAAAAAAGACAAGAAAATGAGTGTTGGCGAGGATGTAGAGAAAAGGGAACCCTTGTGCACTATTAGTGGGAATGGAAATCGATACAGCCGCTGTGGAAAATACTGAGGCCATTCCTCAAAATTTAAAAACAGAACTACCATATGTTACAGCAACCCCCTTCTGAATATTTAGCCAAAGGAAAAGCAATCAGGACCTCAAATAAATACCTGCACCTCCATGTTCATTGTAGCATTATGGACAATAGCTATGTTATGGAAACCACCTAAGTATCCATAGAAACAGGAGTGAATAAAGAAAATGTGATGTGCATATAGTAGAATATTAGCAATATAAATGAAGGATATCCTGCCATTTGAGACAATAAGGATGGACCTTGAGGGCATTTTATTCTAAGCAAAAGAAGTCAGAGAAAAACAATTACTCTATGGCACACTTATATGTGGAATATAAAAAAACAGAGCTCATGAAAAATGAGAAGAATGGTGATTGTCAAGGGGTGGGGGAGAGGAGAGGGAATGGAGAGATGTTGGACAAAGGGTACAAACCATTTATAATAATAAAAACATAATATACTAATTAGACCAGAGGTCCTTCTGGACATCCTTCCAGACGACCTTTTGTATGAAGCTGGGGCTGTGAGGAAAGCCCTGGTCCTGGGTGCCAGAGGGAAGCCTGTGCTGGCAGCCGGGGGAAGGAAGGAAGGCCTACTCTTGCACTAATT